ATATAAAAAAGCAGGCTGAGCAGGGGCCAGAGGAGCAAGTCAGTAAGCAGCATTCCTCCATGGCCTGTGTTTCAGCTCCTGCCTCCAGGTTCCTGCCCTGAGTTCCTACCTTGGGCTCCTGGATGAACTGTGACCCAGGATATGTAAGCTAAATAAATGCTTTCCTCCCCAAGTTGGTAATGGTCAGAGTGTTTTGTTGCAGCAATGAAGAAACGAACTAGGACAGTCATGTACTATGCGGTACCAAAGTTATTCCCACTTTGCAAATGTGGAACTTGGACACAGAGAAGTTGAACAACCTGCCTGAGGTCACACAGCTACAATAAGTGATACAGGTATTTGAACCAGGGGGTTTGGCCTCAGCACCCAGTGTCTTGCTTCTTCTGAGAGCTCTACCCAGCTGGGGAGATTGCTCTGACATTCCTCCATGGATACCATTCCCCTTAATGACACAAAGCACACCTGTAAGCACATACATCAGCTAGCTTACTGTCTGCCCTAAAGGACATGGGACCACAGCTAGTCTGTGGAGAGATAAAAAAAATAAAATAAAATAAAGCCCAGCATCTAAGGCTGGCCTGGCATGTGGCACATGCTCAGTAAGTATGTGGGATTGTAGGATGCTTGAATAAACAGAACTTGGGCTCTTTAATCTTTAAAATGGGCCTAGTGGATGGGGCTGGAGATGACTCGGTGGTTAAGGGCACTTGTGCTTCTTCTTACAGAGAACCTGGGTTCTGTTCCTAGCAGCTACATGGCAGCTCACAACCGTTTTTAACTCCAGTTCCAGAGAACTGGACACCCTATTCTGGCCTCCGCAGGCACCGGGTATGCATATGGTGCATATACATACATACATGCAGGCAAACACTCATACACAAAACAAAAATAAAATCTTTTTTTAATAAATAGGGCTGGTGAGCAGTAAAACACTTGGCATGAAGGGGTTCTGGATTCCTTGCCCTGGTGTTCCTGGGATCTCTCAAACATCCAATAAATACTTACTGAGCACCTACTGTGTGCCATCAGTCACACCCTGCAAGGGAACCAAAGCCAGCCTTCAGGAAGACCCACGGTACATCCAGATTGACCACCCAGGCAGAGGTGGTCCCTCAGTGGGCCATGAAGGGTCCTCCTCAGATGCTTGGGACTTGCCAGGATCCCTGTTGCCCCTGACTTTCCCCGCAACAGCACTTACAGGCTTCATGATCCAGGTGACTCCCGGGCTCTTACGAAACTCATCTACAAACAAGTGGTACTCGCGGGGCATATCGAAGGTTTTGGGGAAGAAGTCGCACTTGGCCGCCTCCACCTTTCCCGCCTCGCGCTCCAGCTGCTTCCGGAAGCGCTTCAGGTTCTTCACCATGTAGTTCTTTTGGGTGAGCTGGACAGCCAGAGAATGGCGGACAGTGAGCCTCCCCCTGCCCTGCTCACTTCCATTAAAAAATACTTCATTACGTTTATGTAGGTACACAAGCCATGGTGAGTCCATGGGCCTCTGAGAGGAGAGGCAGAGTGCATGATGACTGACCCCCTTTCTGAGTTTTCATCTTCAGCAGAAGTTTCCACTTCCCCCAGAAAGCAGGTCATTGCTCCTTACCTGTAGGGAGCACAAAGGGAAGAGAGGGCTGGGGCCACTCCGACCCCAATCAACCAGTTGTTTCTGTGTCCCTGCACCAAGGCAGGGGACCCTATCACTGCCTCTTCCAAGCTTCTGCAGGCAGGGGATCCTCCTGTCACTATTTCTATGCTGGTGGACAGAAACAAGGACCCAATCCCTCTGAAGGACTCCTTAAGACTAACAGAAGAGTTGGGGCAGTCATCAGGGAGTACTGAACTCTAGAAAACCCCAGGCCCCCTTAGAGTCAATGGTACCCAGCTCTGGGGCCCCTCTCTCTATACAGAGTCTAACACTTAACAATAAATTAAAACTTTGCCTTTGCTTTGCTTTGCTTTGAACTCTCTCCATGTTTTAATTCTTTTTAATTGACAGAGAGAAAGAACCCACCAGTCTAGCCAGTATCAACTGAATGTATGTGGAGGTCAGAGAACAACTTGTGGGAGTCAATTCTCTCCTTACCATATGGTTCCTGGGCATCAAACTCGGGGTTTTAGGCTTGGTCACAAGTGCCTTTACCTGATGAGCCATGTTGCTGGCCCTCCTGCCCACCTCTTGCTCTCAGCTTCTCCTCTCAGACCCACAGAATAGCAGAAATAGAAAGACTCTAACAGAGAACTTGCTAGTATCGAACCAGCCAAACTTCACAGATAGGGAAACTGAGGCTCACCTCATAGTAGTTCCGAAAGTGGCTGATCCGCACGTGCTTGTTCATGTATGTCTGGTCAAAATTCTTCTGGAGCCATCTGACATCACACCAGTAGAAATCCCATTCCCCTTCACTGGAATGAAGGGACAAAGGTCAGACCTGAGGACCTCAGTGCTGCTGAGGGTCTGGGTGGCTGAGGGTCTTGAGGAGGGATGCACAGTAGCATGTCTGTCTGATCATGCTGAGTGGGTGGCAGTGTGTGTACTTACCACAAAGGCTGGCCTCCCTGAAGCACCAGCAGATGTGGCCACCCTGAGCCCAGAGCACCTTCTGGCATCCCTCAGCAGATTGGGCACACCCCCTCCAGACCACAGTCCCCACCATTCCTTAAGGCACAAGACATGCCCATCTGTGCTCCCTGCCTGAACCCCGGCACTCACTGCTGCCTCTGCAGGCTGCATTACAGAATGGTGGGCGCTGTCCTCGCTGACAAGGTCCTTCCAGTGCCTGAAGCCCCCTCAGAGCAGTCCCAGAAGTGACCTGGTCACCCCAAGGCTCCAAGGCCTTGCTCATTGAGGACATGGAGCCACTGAGACTCATATTGAGCTCCACCACACTACAATTTCTGAGCTCAGCTTTCACTGAGAGGGAATCAGGTGAACTACCGGATCTGAACGCTACAGTGGGGAAGCAGGAGCTCAGAAAAGACGTGGCAGGAAATTCAATTGCACCATGATTGATCCCTATTATTCTGAGTGAAAAGTTATAGCAATCACTGAAGGCCCTATCTATCTCCTTCCCTCCTGCCCCCAAAGAAGCCCTTATTCTGAGTTTGGGGCTGCCATCTCAATGGATGTCTTCAGTTTTACTCTGTATTTACTTATACTATTTAGGAGTTGGGTGTTGTGGTGCATAATTGGAACTCTAGCACCAGAGAAGCTGAGAAAGAAGAATTGAGTTTGAGGCCAGCCTGGGATACATAACAAGACCCTGTCTCAATCACTGCCCAAAACAGGTGGTGCACACCTGCCATTCCAGCACTTAGTAGACTGAGGCAGGAGGACTGCTGTTAGTAAGACGCTAGCCTGGGATATATGGTGTGCTGGATAGCTTTAGTGTCAACTTAGTACACCTGGGTTGAGGAAGCCTCAATTGGGGAATTTCCTTCATTGGACTGGCCTGTGGCCATGTCCATGGGGCACCTTCTTGATTGTTGAGTGACGTGGGAGGGCCCAGCCCACTGTGGGTGGTGCCACCCCTGGGCAGGTGGGCCTGAGTCACATAAGAAAGCAGGCTGAGCAGGGGCCAGAGGAACAAGCCAGTAAGCAGTGATCCTCCATGGCCTGCGCTCCAGCTCCTGACTCCAGGTTTCTGCCCTGAGTTTCTACCTTGGGCTCCCTGATGAACTGTGACCTGGGAGATGTAAGACAAACCCTTTCCTCCCCAAGTTGGTAGTGGTCAGAGTGTTTTGTCACAGCAATGGTGAAACTAAGACACATGGCAAGACTGTCTCAAAAATAAATTTATTTGGAATGCTTTAAAAAAGTTTTATGGGCTGGAGAGTTAGCTCAGTGTTTAAGAGCACTGGCTGCTCTTGCAGAGGACATGAGTTCAATTCCCAGCACCCACATGGTGGCTAACAACTGTCTGTAACTCCAGTTCCAAGGGAATCTGACACCCTCCATGGGCACTGTACAACACAAATGCACTTACATACATGCAGGCAATACACTCATCACATAAAATAAAATAATAAAATATAATTTTTTACATTTATTTATTTTGTGTGCAAGAGGAGAAAGTTTACGTGTGTGGGTACATGTGTGCCACAGGGTACATGTGGAGATCAGAGGATAACTTGTAGGAGTCGGTTTTCTCCTCCCACCACATGGGCCCTAGGGATCAAACTCAGTTCACCAAGCTTGGCAGCAAGTGCCCTTATCCACTAAGCCATCTTGCCAGCCCCTGGAATGTTTTAAAACTTCCTAACAGCTAACACTGCTTGCCCTCTGCCAGGTACTGTTGTAAAAATTTTACCAGTATCAACTGGCTGATCCTCATAGCAAACCCTAAGCCTTAGGTTGTTATTACACACATTTCACACACAAGCAAACTGTGGCAGAATCTGAGAGGTTAAAGAACTGGGGCCATCAGGTGGGCGCTGAAGTCTAAGCTCTGTAGTCAGGAAGGGGCATTCCCGTCTGTTTCCTGACAACTAGCTTGTTTCCATCAACCTTTGCTCTGCAGATTTATCCATTTGATGCAAAGAGGTCTATTCAGTCATCTCAGCTGTCACGTTTGCCCGCAATGTATGAATACAACCACAGCATAGCATCCATTTTGTGCTCCCCCTTCTGCCTGATTTACATCTTGATAGTCTCCCGAAGGCCTGGGTGCACAAAGTTTGATCACATACCTCTGGCACCATTGGGAGATGGTGGAGCCTTTAAGAGGCGAAGCCCGATGGAAGGATATTAGGTTATTGAGGGGTGTGCCCTTGAAAGGGATATTAGATAAGTCCTCAGCACCTCTCCTGCTTCTGCTTCCTGGCTTTGCTTCCTGGTTACCATGAGCTCCCACCACGCCGTTCTGCCTTGCTACAGGCCTAAGAACAAGAGGCAACTGACCATGGACTAAGAACTCCAGAACTGTGAGAAGTTATTATCTTAGAAGATATTTTGCCACAGTAACGGAAAAGCAACTAACCCTTACCCCTGCCTCCATGGACAAGTGGGCTACATTTTGGAAAACAGCTTGAGAGATCTGACGCTGAAACAACCGTAAAGAGGCAGCTGACCTAGATGATGAGCAAACCAGGCCTGTCCTTGACCATGTCATTGAGAATGCCTTCTCATCGACAACGCTGTGATCTACTCTACTCCCCAGATGCACACACGGCCTCTCTCACACCAGAGGCCTCAGGCTGTGAAGACTCATGGAAAGGCCACAGGACCTTCTTTGGCTGACACACAGTGAGCAGTAATAACGGCAGCTGACTCCTGACATCTGGTGACCTCGGCAGAGACTCTTCCTGGCTGATGCCCTAGCACCTCGCAGACAAGCCACTTAGCTGTGGCTGAGGCAAATCCTGACCTGCAGAAGGTGCTGGCCTGTCTGGAGCAGCTGATCTCTGAGATTTCTATAGAGCACACTCTCACAGGCACCACTATGGGATCATGGTAATCACAAATAATCACAAATCTAGCAAAAATCTCCAAGGAAAGCTAAAACTATTACATGAAAGTCTGTTGGGGCCAGGGTATTTATACAGTGACAAAACATCTGCCTACAGAGACACAGTAATTATAAATAATAAGTTTTAAAAACTATTTTCCACTGAAGAGGACAGGGCAGCCAGGGCTACTTAGTGAGATCCTGTCTCAAAAATAAAATAAAATAGTATAAACAAATGGGAAATTTTGTGTCTCAAAAGGCACTATCCAATTAAAGGGTGGTTGGTTCCTCCATGATATTCATGCCACTGTTACACCAGTGGTCATAGTTTGCCACATCAGTTGTTACTGTATCTTGCAGGGTTCACAGCTAAGTAAGGTTGATGATTACTTTTCTCTGGTAGAAATAATACCTTCTAGTACTATGAAAGCAGAGATGCAGCTTCAAGGTCAGCACTAGCTTGATTTCTCCTTGTTTGTTCTGTGACTTATGTAGTGTCTTCAGCAAAGGGTCTTACTGTCAAGTTCTGAAATAACACCATTCCCGAGATGGAGTCTTAGGGTTGTTTTCCCTTTTGGCTGTGCTGGCAATTAAACCCAGGGCCCTGCATATGCTAGGCAAGTGCTCTACCACTGAGCTATACCCCCAGCCCTCCTGTGGCTAGACAGGTCACAGGCCATAGGGGAGAAACTACTACTATCATTCAGCTAAATAGACATAGTATTAAACTGACTCCTAACTCATGACTTACTTTTATGCTCATAGATTAATGTATCTCTCAAACCTCACCAGAGAAGTTTCTAGCAGCAGATGGTGATTAACACATAGACCTTCAAATAGTTACCATTTGGAGAATAAGAGTGTGGAGTGCTCAGCCCTAAATGGGACACCTATATCACACCCTCTCCTCCCAAAGCTCAGGGATCATTGTGGAAGAGGGGGTGGAAAGATTGTAAGAGCCAGAGGTAAAAGATGAATTCAAGGAAAATGTGCTGTCTGGATACCACACAGTAGTTGTACATATGAGCTCATGTGCTAATGAAAGCATGCACAAGATCTGAGCAAACCCAAGCCAGACAGAAGCCCAGTATGGATGGGGGAGGTGGGCAGGAAGCTCCAGCCTTAGCTGAGGATCCATTGGTAACTGACAGATGCTGGAAGAGGGAGAGTCTGTTTTCTGTACTGGGGTGATACCTGGTAGGTTGCTCAGACTCCAGGGAATAGACACATATCCAGGAGCACTTGGGAAATACAGATTAGACTCAATTAGCCTTCAAAACATTTTTAAAAACACAAATAATAATAGAGGATGTAAAGTTAGGAGGGTAGTAAGGTGGGGATGGGGAGGGTCTGAATATGATCAAAATTAATTGTATAATCAAAATACATTGTATGAAATTCTCAAGTCAATAAAAATATTTTAAAGGCACTATCCAGAAAGTGGAAGGTCTGAAAAATGGCATAAAATCTTTTCAAGTCATATATCTGATGTGGGTATAGGAAGAACTCAACAACAGCTAGAAGTAGAGCTCAGAGCACTTGCCCAGCATATGCAAGGCTCTAGTGGGATAGATAACCCTGACTGTCAGTCTGATTGTATTCATAAATGCCTGTGGCATTAATGAAGCACATATTTGGGTGTATCTGCGAGGATATTTCCAGAGAGGATTAACTAAGGGAAGAAGATGCACCCTAAATGTGGGTGGTGGCACCACCATGGGCTGGGACCCTCAACTCAATAAAAAGGAATATAGAGAAAGCCAACTGCATGGCAGCATGCATCTCCCACTGCCTCCTGATCTGCCCTGAACAAGCGGCCTCACCCTCCTCTACCAGGAAGACTGGATCCCCTCTAACTACAGGCCAAAAGAAATCCTTCCTCCTTTAAGTTACTTTCTGTCAGATACTGTGTTATAGTAACAAGGAAAGTAACAATATGCTGAAATACCTGACAAGAAGCACTTAAGGAGGGAAGGGTTTATTCTGACTTACCGTTGGAAGGGACACAGCCCATCATTGAGGTAGGAGCAGGTGGTGGCTGGTCACAGGCCTCCACAGTCAAGAAGCAGAAAGAGATGAGTGCTGGTGCTTTGTTCTCCTTCTACTTTCTACTTTTTAAATTCAGTCTGGGACCCTAGCCCATAGGACAGTGCTGCCCACTGTTAGGGTGGGTCTTCCTACACTGATTAACCCAATCTACAAACTCCCTCTTGGGCATACCTAGAGGTTTGTCTCCTAGATGAGTCTAGGCTCTGGCAAGCTGACAATCAACGGTAACCATCGCATGTGCCATGTAACCTTAAGCAATTGGTCAGTACTTCGGAAGATATCACCTCTTACCCAGGCTGTATGACTTAGATGCAATAGAGATGGCATCTGCAATGCATGTAACACATCATGGGTGCTAGAGGGACACCACATCTGCTTTAGGGCAGGTCCCAGTGACTACCCAAGAGGAACTGGGAGAAAACCAAAGAAGACAAGGACCTGGGAGACAAAGGGAAGAGGGGAGGGAAGAAGAGGAAGAGAGGGGGAGGGGGAGGGGAGGGGGAGGGGAAGCAGCAGCGGGGAGGGAGAGGGGCATCTTACTCTTTTACTTCCACCCATCCTGGTCTGTGGCGTAGGACGTCCATGAGAGTATTCACGGGTTTGGTCTTGAATCGGATTAATGTTCTCTGCTCTCTGCAAGACAAGGCAGCACAACACATGCTCAGGACCAGTGACTATCCTAGGACAGCCCAAGGACAGGGAAAAAGGAGGAAGAAAAGCCAGGCTCCACCCCTGGAAATGCCAGGAGCAGAAGTGACTGAGTACCACAGCGTGCTGACACGTAGAAGAGCCAAACTGGGAATCTTAGAGCCTTTGAGTTATTGAAAAGTAGCAAGCTGAGCACAGTGGCACATGCCTGTAATGCAGGCATTCAGGAAGCTGAAACAGGAGGATTGCTCTTAGTGTAAGACCAGTCTAGACTGCAGAGTGAGTTCCAGGACAGCCTGGACTACAGAGTGAGTAAAAACAACAAAAACCAAGCCATGTATGGTGGCCCATACCTGTAATCCAAGCATTCAGGAGGCTGGGTTAGGAAGAGTGCCATTGATAAGCCTGGACTTCGGAATGAGTTCCAGGACAGCCTGGGCTACAGAGTGAGATCTTGAGACCTTGTCTCAAAAAACAACCAAACAGTAAACCAAACAAGCCATGTATGATGTACACGCCTGTAATCCAAGGACTTAGGAGGTAGAGGCAAGGGGATCAGTTCAAGGTTACTCCTCTCTACAAGGTAAGTTGAGACCATCCTGGGTTACATTTTGTGACCTTGTAACTAAAGCACAAAACAAGGAGGCACTGAAAAGATGGCTCAGTGATTAAGAGCACTGGCTGCTCTTGCAGAGGACCTGAGTTCAGTTCCCAGCACCCACATGGCAGTTCACAACTGTCCATAACTCAAGTTCCAGGCCACCTGACATCTTCTTCCAGCTTCCGTGGGCACAAGGCACATACACACTCTCTCTCTCTTGTTCTCTCTCTCTCTCAGGTGAAAACTCACAGTATTAGGTCTGCTTTCTGTTGCTGTGATAAAACACTGATCAAAAACAACTTGAGGAGGAAAAGGTTTATTGCATCTTACACTTCTAAGTGGCAATTCATCTTTGAGAAGAGTCAGGGCAGGAACCCAGGGCAGGAACCTGAAGGTAAAAACCGAAGCAGAGACCATGGAGGAACACTGTTTACTGGCTTGCTCCTCTGGCCTGTGCTCAATCGGCTTTCTTATATAACCTAGGACCACCTACTCAGGGGTGGCACCACTCACAGTGGGCTGGGCCCTCCCTCATCACTCAACAATCAAGAAAATGCCTCACAGACATGGCCACAGGCCAATCCAATAGAAGAAATTCTCCAAGTGAGGGTCCCTCTTCCCAGGTGTGTAAAGTTAACAACAGAAGGCAACCATGACACTCATATACATAAAATAAAAATAAATAAATCTTAAAAAAATAAGCTGCAGGTAGGGGAGGGGATCTAAATATGATCCAAATGTATTGTTATGAAGTTTGCAAAAAAATCAATTTAAAAAACAGTTTTAAAAGGCAAGGATTTCTCCAGTGCCTACTATGTGATAGGCATGGTCTGGGTCCTTTACATTGCTATGACTAATTCTTACATCACATTGTGAATGTTTCCAGATCTCCTTCCCTGGCATTCAGCTTGGGAGATGGAACAGATGTACTTTTCCCAAGTCCTCCTACTAATGCGGATAAAAACCCAGAACATTATGTATAAAACAAACTTAGAAGATTGAATGGCCCAGCACTCAGGAGGCAGAGGCAGGTGGATCTCAATGAGATAAGAGGCCAGCCTGGTCTACATAGGAAGTTCCAGGGCAGCTGGAGCTATAGGGAGACCCTGTCTCAAAAGAAGGAGGAGGAGGAGGAATTCCCTGGGCTTCTTTTTGCCTCTCCATATCCTGACTGTGGAGAGGAAAAAGTCATCCAGTGGACATGCAGAAATTGTAATTGGTATGGAATCAAAACAACCTTCAAAAGCAGCCTGCTCTCTCCAGCCAACAGCCAAGACAGAACACTGTTCCACAATGGAAGATACAGCAATGACTCTGCTCTAGTGAAACCCCAAGAAAATACCTGCTATCTACCTCCATAGGTGCCACCAAAGGCCGAGTGAGAATCTACAATTTCCATGAAGCTGCATCAAGGTACCCCAACAGAGTGGTGCTAAGAAGATGGAACACAAGGCTAAGACCTTTTACCGCCTCCCCTAGGGGGTAAAGAGAGCCCACTGCCCCATCATAGGAGGTCACTGTTGGAGAGAAGCCTGAACTTCCCTATATACAGTCATGAGATGGGCCTCCCACTCTGGGGTTGATGTTAAAAGGGGACAGTTAACAATCAATACCTCTGACAACAGAAAAACAATAGACAAAATCAATACAATGAAAAGCTAGTTATTGAAAGATCAATAAAACTGACAAATCTGACTAGAGAGATGGCTCAGCAGTAAAAGCACTGACTGCTCTTACAGAGGACCTGCGTTCAATTCCCAGCACCTACATGGTAGCTAACAACCATCCATAACTCCAGTTCCAGGGGATCCGATGCCTTCTTCTGACCTCCACAGGCATTGCACAACACAGGTATACTTACACACATGCAGTAATACACTCATACACATAAAAAAAATATATAATAATTTTTTTTAAAACTGACAAATCTATTTGTTGGCAAGACTGACAAAGAGAAGACACTGTCACCCATAGGTTGAAGGAAGTGGTTACTTCTACAGACACTGCAGGCATGGTAAAGACAGGCTAACACCTCTGTGCACCCCAGTGTGACGGCCAAGATGGCATGGTCCTTGAAGAGCCTACCACAACTCACCCTGTATGACAACTCATCCTATTGCAGAGACACTTGTACATCCATGTTTGTTGCTGCTCTTTTCACAATAGCTAAGAGATGGAAGCAACCTAAGTGTCCCTCAACTGATGAGTGGATAATGAAAATGTGGTTCATTTTTATAATGGCGTTCTACTCAGCAGTAAAGAAAGATGAAATCATGAAATTTGCAGGTAAATGGATGGATCTAGAAACTGTTATAATAAGTGAAGTAACACACACTCAGAAAAACATGTATGTTCTCTCACATATGTGGATCCTAGCACCAAATCCTTGTAAGTGAGTATACATCCAGACATAACTACAGGATCCAGGATAACTGTAACTCCAGTTCCAGGGGAATCCGACATCCTCTTCTGACCAACACAGGCATTGCATGACATGGGTTCACTTACACACATGCAGGCAATACATTCGATACACATAAAATAAATAAAATTTAAAAAAAGAAATATTAGCTATGGTGTGTGCAGTGTAAACCCCTCTACCTCCCAAACAATCATCCACCAAGAGCACTGTTGTTCTTCTTGGATTGTGCTGAGAAAAGTCAAGTGGGCCCTGAGTGTTGTGCCGGGGATTTATGGATGCAGAATACCCAGAGAAGCAGAGTCAGTGCATGCACTGCAACCATTGGGTTGTTACAGGGCTGGTGAGGGAGGCCAGAGAGCAGAGTCAGACAGTGGGCCCCAGGCCAACCAGCCCCACCCCTAACTGACTACAGGATTCTGAGCAAGGCACTTGGCTTCTCTGAGTGTTTCTCCAGCTGTACAATGGACACAGATACAAGATTAAGGTTAAGATTAAGGACGGTGGTAAGGATTTGATGACCCAGTATGAGGAAAGTGAGCAGCCTGGGGCTTGGCTCATAGTAAGTGCTCAATAACTCTTCACTATGGTTACTAGTGGTACAGTCATGATTATCAAAGAACAGAGAGAAGGTCAGGCATAGAGAAGTGGAGTGGACCTGCAATCTCAACACTTGGGAGGCTGAGGCAGGAGGATTTTGAGTTCAAGGTTAGGTTAAGCTACATAGAGAGACTGAGAGAGAGAGAGAGAGAGAGAGAGAGAGAGAAGGAGGGAGTGACAGAGGCAGAGGGCTAGTCATGTGTATATGGACTGAGTTGACCATTCACCGCTCTTTTCCTTTTGACAATCCATGGCCCTTGTAGCTCTGATTCTGTAAGGAGAAAAGAAAAAAGATGTAACTGATTTTGCACACTTCTCTGCCTCCCCCACTTAACCTACTGCAGAGAGAGAGCTACTCAAACCATAGTGCTCATTGGTGCCTAGGTCCTGAGGTTTGGAAGTCTAGTCTGGTTGTATTCTTGCCCATTTTTGTTGCCCGGAAAATCAGGGCAAAACTTACCATCTGTCTTCAGAACAAATTCCCCAAGATCCATCAACCCACTTTTCTGGAGGCCTTTGGCACAGGCAAGACCTGTATACTAAAGGCCTGGTCTTCAGAGCTCCAACCGTCAACCCAGAGCCCCAGCTTTGAGAGGTGCTCAGGCTCTGAGAAGGATCCAGACATTCTATTCTAACTTTATTGACTTTCTATTCTAATTTTAAATGTACATTTTGTACACAAGATCCAGTAGGGGACTATAAGCATTTCTCAGAGCAATCTCAAGGTTATCCCTAAAACATGCTGGGTGAAATGGCACATGCCTTTAGTCCCAGTACTTGGGAGGCAAAGGCAGGCAGATCTCTGTGAGTTCAAGGTCAGCCTGGTCTATGTAGTGAGACCCTGAATGAAAAGGGAAACAAACTGTCTCTAAGCAGGATCTCTACAATGCAAACTGACGTTTCTGTCACCCCTCAACAGTACCACGGATGTGCCTTGGGAGAGGCAGCATTCATTAACTTATCATTTACATGTGCCAGGAGTGTGTGCACAGGTTAGCTGAGCTTTCTGTGCAACTCTTACAAGGCCATACGGGATGCACATCAGTTGATTAAGTTTGTAGGACTGAGGTCCCAATTGACTTGCTAGCTGTCAATCGGAACTGCTCCCAGTCTCTACAGAAATGGATATCTACTTGCTCCTAGGACAGTCCAGAGCACTTCTGAGGACCTCCAGCCTGCCCCCCTCCAAGTCAGCTACCATGGCTTCACCTAACATTATGCAATCGTGGGAGGAGCCTTGCCCCCATTTCACAGGCTCTGCCCAGGTGTGAGCCACCAAGCCCAGCGCAGCCAGTGCTCTTAACTGCTGAGCCAATGAAAATTCATTGGAAGTAACAAATATCCCATTTATGTTGCAAACAACAGGTAGGATTAGACTGATAACATTTGTGGTTGTGTGTACTGTTCTGTGTCGGGTCAGATAGGAAAAATCCTTTGACAATACAGGCTCCTCACTTCTTCCCCACACCCTGCTGGATGTACTGATTCAACAGAGAGAGTAAAGCCTTTGTCTGAGAGTTTAGTTCCAAGAGAAATCTGCAGGATGAAGTGGTCAGGACAGATAGGGTTCTACTCTTGCTTTTAATGGAGACTTGGAGTCAAGCTGTTTTTGCTCAGACATTGCTATAATGTGGCCTCGTGCTGCCATATATTTCATTTTTAACTATTTACTGTTAGGGTTCCAAATAGCAGCAGTTTCCCCCCTCCCCAACAGGGACCTCACCTTGACCTTTGGAGTCAAGGGAAACAAACTCTGCTGAGAAGCAGCCTGCCTCTCCTCTGATCTCCAAAGATAAGATAAGCAGATTCTACCTGTTAACCAGAGATTTTAGAAGCTGTTTATCACAACAAGCTTTTCTCTTATTTTAAGAGAGAAAAAGTAAACACTTCCAGACCCTAATCCCACCTGGCAGACTGAACGCAGCCAGGCTTTTTCTGCTTCCCCCTCCCTGATTTCTCCCCCAAACATTCCCCCCCTTCCACACCTAAAGCTCACATATATAAAGTCCCAGCTCACAATCCATGAGCGGACATCTTTCCCTGACATCTTTCCCTTCCCTGAGGGAAACGTGTCCTGTGCAAAATAAATCTGTATCCCACTGAGAATTCCATCTGTGCCTCGGTGCCTCATCCATCCGCTCGTGCTCTCCACCACCCGCTCGCTCTCTCCAACATTCTCTACCTATCATTTACCTTCTTTTTAAAGCATGTTTTCTTACATCATTACGTAATTATTATGAAATTCACTGAAAACATCTTTCTTTTTTTTTTTTTTTGTCTTTTTGAGACAGGGTATCCCTGTAGCCCCAGCTATCCTGGAACTCACTATGTAGACCAGGCTGGCCTTGAACTCACAGAGATCCGCCTGCCTCTGCCTCCTGAGTGTTGGGATTAAAGGCATGCGCCACCACGCCCGCCCGGCTGAAAACATCTTTTACTGAGTGATTATTATGTAATTAGCCCATTACAGTGGTCAAATTCCAGTTCTTGACATCTTAAGAACTGTAAATTTTGTGTGTGTGTGTATGTGGAGAGAGAGAGAGAGAGAGAGAGAGAGAGAGAGAGAGAGAGAGAGAACATGAATGCCATGGCATGTATGTGGAGGTCAGAACCAGTTTCAACCCTCAATCCTTGCCTTCCACCTTGTTTGAAGCAGGGCCTCTCTTTGTTTCCCTCTGCTGTGTACGCCAGGCTAGCAAGCCTTCCATTTTCTAAGGATTCTCCTCCCTGTACTCCCCATCTCACTCACTGGAATTACAGAGGACTGCTACCATGCCCAGCTTTGTATTGGTTCTGGGGATTCTAACTCAGGCTTGCAGGGCAAGCACTCTACTCACAAAGCCAACTCCCCAGCCCAAGAACTGTAATTGTGATGTTAATGCCTTGGTTAGCATTGCCCAGGGAAGAATGAGGACCAAGAAAAGACTTGACTTTGTGTCTTTTTTTTTTTTTTGAAATATTTAATGGATTATCAAAACCACCAGATCATTTGTATATAACAACATACAAGAGGCAGATGAGCAGCCAGCAGGAGGAGAGGCAACCAGGCATGTGGGGCGTGGGGCGTTTATGCAATCCCAGATGCAACACTTTCCCAGCCCTCCCCCACATTCAGCAATCTGGAAGCTCAGAGATTTCCCTGCCAAGCACACACCTAGAGCCCCCGGCATAAGGAGATGGCTTCCTAAGTGTCTCCCAATGCTCAAGGGTAAATCTGTTCTAGTTAACATCTTTGCCAGGGGTGTGGTCCTCTGAACAGCCCCACTTCAGGAAGAGTCCCCCGTTCCTGTTCTCTGCACAGTGGGCCCCACTCTTGCTTATGATAGAAGCTACTTCCACCCCACTTCAACAGCACAGCTAACTTCTGTTTTCTTTTTTCTTTTTTCTTTTTTTTTGAGACAGGGTCTCCTTGTAGTCCCAGCTGTCCTGGAACTCACTATGTAGACCAGGCTGGCTTCGAACTCACAAAGATCCTCCTGCCTCTGCCTCCCAAGTGCTGGGATTAAAGGCGTGCACTTTAGGAATTTCTCTTCTCCCACCAACCCCACCCCCCAACACACGCACAAGCTCAGTTTTGCATTTTTGCAGATATTTGTTCTCTTTTAAGTATGTTACAAGTCTTTTTGAGAAATCTCATGTGACTGGGCATGGTGGTACACACCTATAATCACAGTGGTAGGGAGGCAGAGGAAGCTTGGGGCTACACAGTGAGACTCTGACAAGAAAGGAAGAGAGAGAGGAAGGAGGGAGGGAAGGAGGGAAAAAATAAGCAAAAGAAATCTCATCTGTAATCCCCATGTTGTCTGTAATAAAATTCTTACTACCATCTTGATGTGAAGAACAGTACAGGGATAAGAAAACTTCTTCAAACTGTTAGTCAAATACCCATCTGGCGGAAGGAGACAACCAACTTCTGCAGGTTGTCCTCTGACCTTCACATGCATGCCATGGAACAAGTGTGCATGTGCAAACATATACACATTCAATCAATAAATAAATGTTAAAAAGAAAAAGATAAGCCATGGTGGTGCTTGCCTTTAATCCCAGCACTCAGGAGGCAGAAGCAGGCAGATCTCTATGAGATTGAGGCCAACCTGGTCTATATAGTAGGTTCCAGACCAGCTGGGACTACAGGGAGATCCTATTTCAAAAAACCAAAAAGAAAGAGAAAATAACTCTCAGACATGGTTACATTGCTCTTATTGGCTATATCTGATTTCTCATTTTGCTTTCTACAAAATGGCAGAAGGCCAGGGTGAGAGACCTGAGTGACTCGATCTTGGATAAAACCTCCATGGGACTGACCCAGCCCTGAGCCCTATTCCAGGAAAAACCACAAAAAAAAAATATACTTGGAACAGGTAGAGAACAACTCCCCCGCCAATGGTCAATTAACCAGGGACAGGAAGGTACTAAAAGTCCAGATGTCTTTTCAGATTTCCTAAAGCCAGCAGTTTATGGTTTGGCACTGGGCTGCAACCAATCAGATGCTTGCCAGGCTGAAGACCCCCTACTCCCCTACTTGCTGAACTTGCTGAAATAAACCTATAAAAACCCTCCCAAAGCAAGGGGGTCTCACATCTGAGATCTGCTGGGTTGGTGACAAGAGTGGACCCAAGCTTAAGCTTGCAACAATAAAAAACCCTTGTGTGTTTGCATCGGTCGGCTCCTTGGTGGTCTTTGGGGTCTCGTGAACTGGGCACAACAAGGGAAGTACCAGTTGCTGTTTAGGGAGAGAATTTGCTAATGACGGAGCCAGCTTCCTTCATGCTAGACTGTATACCACAAGCTGTGCTTTGAGCTCCCTAATCTGACCTGCCAAGTGGAGAATCCATGCTGGAACAGTCTGCCACACCAGCTAACAAACACATCATGGCTGGCCTCTGGTCACCTTACTGGAGGGCAATGCCTCTGCTCACCTGGTTCCTATAGCTCCAACTTCCTACCTGATTCCTCATCTCCTCTTAGTTGCCTGGAGTGTCCCTAGCATGCCTCAGAGCTGTCTTAGGAGTGAGCCCTAGGAGATCAAAGGTCAAAACACTTGGCATTCTGACCTCTGGCTTTGGCCATAGTTTTGCGATGGTACACTGCCATGTATCCCGGTTTGCTCTCTTACCAAGTTCCCTTTTTTCTGGGTCACTTGAAAGACTCCACAAAGTCCCAGATGTACATATACCTAAATAACTATACTTAGGTAACCTTCATCTCTCCAACAGTAATAACAAAATATATATCACACAGAAGCAATCTGCTATTTTTTCTCTTCCAACA